AGAGGAAAGAGGGACCAAAGAGGGGACCACGCTCTCCGTGTTGGTCAGCAGGCTGCAGTCCATATGGATGACTATCAAACGAGAAGATTCGTCCATTTTTACCTCAATCCGAGTAAACCCAACATTCTCTCCTCTCCGAGGTCTACGTCGGAACCGGATTCATCATCATCTACGGCCACAACTTTCTTCTTCTCTTCGGTGGAGGAAGAAATGCCAACTCGCTCTAACATCGACGGTTCGCTCCCCGAAATGACCTCGATCGCCTATGTTCGCCCTTTTCCTTCCACATTTATCTTTGATAAAGAAGCAACCACCACATTTGAAAGGGACACAGTCTCCGCGTCCAAAATCGTGCCGCCCTCGGGCATAACCGTGGCCAGCCCAGGATCAGCCCCTATGGGCCCTTCGTTCTTGGTCATTTCACCATCAACCTCAATTCTCCACCTTTTTAACGGAGCCTCTTCCTCCTCGCCCTGCGATGACTCATCTACTAAATAAACCACTGAGGAAGCCAGAATCTCCGCTAGAGGCGCAGCAGCCTAACGGCTAGGTCTATGCGAGGCCGGGGTCCGAGAAGGAACAACAGTCTAAACGGATTCACCTGTAGTCGCGGTGAGTAGAGGCCTGGTCGAAGCACCTGACTGACGAAATGAGAGAGTAAGAGCCCTCGCCCTCCTCGGATCCCTCCGACCTATCAACAAGGAAGACGTAAAAAGGGGGGAAAGAGAAAAGACGATATGAAGGTCGAAGCAACTGAGGTCGAAACAAGATGACTCACCGATCAAAGAAGGCCTATGACCGAACTTCTTGTTGAATTGCGACCACTCACGAATCCCCACCGTACAGGGCAAAATCTGGCTCACCCAATCTCGGATATCGGCAACCAACGTACGAGGCTCCCTTTCGGCTACACAAAAGAAAATGAGGATCAGTAAGATCATCAACGAAACCAAATAAAACAAAGACAATGATTGATAAAAGTACTTACGAGCAAAATTACATTCCTCGGGGAATCCACTGGGTTTCGTAACCACGTGTTCGATCTTGACGTAGAAGAAGTGGAAATTGAAACGACGATTGGCTTTATCATCCATCTTCACAACCAAACCATGGTCCCACGATGGCGAAGATGGAGAATCGTACCTTTGAGGAAGTTTGGGGTGAAGAGGTGTAGCAAGTGATGAAGTGAAACCCCACGGTTGGCCAATTCGGCATATTTCGCCAGCATCAGAAAAATCTTTTAGATATGCGGGGAAAGCTGAACCGGTTAGACTTGGTAGTATCGGAAGAACTCCTCCGCTAGTGGAGGAAGAGGAAGAGAGTAGCCTATACGGAACAGGTACGCGTAGAAGGCACAATACACCGGTCGATGAACTTGAACCACGTCTCCTTCGGCCGGAACTAGGTCAATATGAGCAGGAATTTCGTACTTGACCCTTAGCTCGGCTAATCCTGCCTCGTCCAGTTCGGAGAGTACTGATTCAGGGTCTTCCGTTGGCGTTTTTGAAAATCTGACCTGGATTTGTCATTATGAGGGATAATCTCGTCTATAGTAGGAAAGCTGTCATCGTCAGCAACGGCAGCCATATCGTCCTCATAAGGAGGCACCCTCATTGAAAGCGGTATTGGTTCAGACGAGACGTCATAAACATGAGAGGAGGTTGCCATTTTCTGTTAAACGAAGGTATTAAGAATCTGGCCTCAAGGAGAAGGAGGAATTGCACAAATCTATCACAAAATCAGCAGCAAGGTGAAATTAGAATGCAGAAGGAAGAAGAGAATGATGGGAAGCAAAAGCTTAGAAAATGAGAGTGTGTAAAGTATAACTCAAGGGGTTTTCCTCTAGTATTTATAAGAGAATAGGCGCCTGAATCGAAACGCCAACCGTCGGTTGCACAAGAATCGAAACGTCAAAAGCACAGCAAACGATGCGGCGCGTTGGGAAGACGCATAATGATGATGCCTACAATAATGATGTCATCATAGGCTGACATTACAACGAGTTGTGGTTCTCGAAGCGCCACGTTGTAACCTTGTACAAACTCCTTTCCCACTCAATCTCCTCCCCCCAAATCTCTCAAGCACGATCGGTGATGTCCGCTCAGCGAGACCGACCAAAGGATGACCTCGCTAAGCGGAGGGACTAACTGTATGGGTCAAAATCAGACCGAGGATTAAGTCGTGTAGAGTTGGGAGATGAGAGTGATCTGGAAATCGTTAAGTGTGCGTGGTCATGTTCGGTCAGTAACCTCATGCGTCGAGTAGCTCGATAACTGGTCGTGGTCGAGGTCGAGCAGCAAAGTCAGAAATAACGGCTAGTTTATAGTGGAGTCCACAATAGGGAATATTCCAGTGAATATTCTCTCTGTTTGTACTTTAGGGTTCCTAGGGAATATCCTATATAAATAGAAAGAAAGAGGGGAGGGGGGGGGGGGGGAAGGGAGAGATTCCATATGATAAGAACACTTATAAAAGGATAAGCTCTCGGAGATAATACAAAGAACTACTTTTCATTACGATTGATCCTGTTGGTGAACTATTCTATTGTCTTTTCCATGAGATCCAAGAAAGTGCATAATATTCTATCTCACTCGTGTCATTCATCCTTGTCAGAGGAAGGAATCCTTCACCCTCTTCAATATTGGGCGAATTTTCCCCTCTATTTACATTTACTGCCCTTTAATGTTATTTATTGCTTGCTCTTTCTACATAGTATAACACTTGGTTACATTTATTACCCACATCTCATTTTGAATACACTGTTATTCACATCATCCATTATAAATCTAGAATTATTAGCTTTAATTAGGATTGTCCCATCTTGATAAATCATTAATTAGTTTAACTAAGACTAACTCCATTTTAGTCAAATAAATATAACAATATAAAGTAATGAATAATGCAATAACTATAAATAAAGATTAAAGAGAGATTTTTTTTTTCGGGGGGAGAAAATGTAGAAGGATAGCACTTATTCAATTTTGAGGTAAACCATAAAGTGGTAGTAAAAATTTTGTTAAAACAATATTCTCAAACAATACATTTTACAATATGATATGTTTAGTATTCTTTAATATTGACCATGGAATAAAATGCAACTACTAAGATTAATGGGTTGGGTTGTTACAGATATAAAATAAAATAAAAAAACATGTTATCTTATACGAGATATGAGAAAGAGTTTCATGTCCTACTTCTTAATTGATATCTAATGATTATATGTAATTTTTATCTGGAAGGTTTAAATTTTAAATAATTAGCATATAATCCAAATAACTCAAATCATAATTTGATATTTGTGTCCGCGCATGATACGGGTACTAATATTAGTATTCATACAAGGCATAAAGCCTTTAATTTCGTATAGTGATATAATTATTTATATTGGTAAGAGTTAAATCAAGTTAGTTAGATATTAGTCATATATTTGCAATATAAACCATCGATCTTGTTGTAAAAAAAGTTATTGGCTAGTATGAAGGCTTTAGTAGTTTAATTTGATGTTCTAAGATTATAAAAGAGAAATTTTTATAAACCACTATCTTTTAGTGGTAATTAGCTATCTATAGATACCATTTGCTATATTACGGATTGTAGATACGTTTTCTGTTGTTATAAGATGTATTAGATGTATTTAAGCTACTGTATTCATGAATACAGTAGCAAAAATAGGCGTGAATCAGGAAAGTCAAGCAAATTAGTTGTTGTATTCGAGTGTATACGACAGTATTCATGGCGTGAAACATGGGATTACAGCTGGACAAATTATTTTATGCAACTGTATTCACGGCGTGAAACAGGGGATTACACTGTTTTTAAACGGAAAGTGAACCAATTAACATAATATACTCCTAATATAACTCAACAAACTCAATTATAACACACAAATTTTGTATTTCCAGTTATAAAAAAGATTCTCAACCGAAAAATACCCCAAAAACATAGCAATCTTCAGAGAACTTATATAATACATCTGAATATATAAATATATTAAGTAAAAAAAATATATGAATACATTCATGGCATATAGCGAGACAGTGAATACAATGAATACATAGAATACAGCGGGATACATTGAAATACAATGAAAAAAAAGATACTGAATACAATGAAATACATGAAATATAGCGTGATACGTTAAAAATACATTGAAATATATTAACAGAAAATCAAGTTGCTCAGCTCCAAACTCCGTCGTCTTTGTTCAAGAACAAACCCTAATTTCCAGCTCGAATCCGCCGTTGAGCAATGGTGGCAGAATAAAGTGAAGAAGAGCCAATCTTCGTTAGCTTTAGTCAGAACAAACCAATCTTCGTTAGCTTTAGTCAGAAGAGCCAATCTTCGTTTGCTTTAGTCAGAATGGTGGCAATGGTGGCAGAACAAACCCTAATCTTCGTTAGCTTTAGTCATGTTCCAATTACAAGGGCGAAGAAGAGCCAAAGCAACGTCCAATGGAATTGGAGAAATTGGGATCGGAGAGAACGTAGGTGATGTGGGTGAGAGGAATTTTGAGATTGAGCATCGTGTTTTCAGGGAATGGGGGAAGATAATGACATGTATCAAAGTAGAGAGAGAAAGAAAATAGTGTAACTGAATAGCGTATTTAGTGGTTTAGGGGTAGAAGGTAACCAAAATTAGATATTTGCTATAAACATTAAAAGGTGTCTATAGAATATAATTTTTTTAAATGGTATTTATTTAAAATAAATAAGGTGTTAATTTTTGCTATAGGAGGTAAAAATTCCATTATAAAATCTACATTTAAAAATTTTTGGGGCCTTTGAGTTTGAACCACTCTTGGAGCTAGTTAGTAAGAACATAAAAATTAAACCTATCGTATAGACATTTTGAGATCCGCCTTTGTTTAAGATGAGAAAAAACATACTGTAAAGTGTAAACACACAAGTTTTCTTTTAAAACATAGGTAACCCCTCAATGTTGAAATATTATTAATGTAACCACCTAATATGTTTTACATATGAACTCCTGTCCCAGCTGATAGCCTGATAGAACAAAAAATGCTAATAAGTGCATTTGGAAATAAGTTTATATTGATATTGCGAATAATTTTTAAGTATTTATTTAAACCATACATATTTTAGCAAATTGCAATACAAGTTTCTACTTATCTCCTCTGATCCTTTATGTACGGAAAGATTAAAAAGAGAGGCGCAGTTGAAAGGAATTGACAACTGACAACGGCCAATACAAATATGGAAACAAACTGTTACCGCCAATTTCGCTATTTCCCTTCTCAGATTAACTTTCTTTTCCAAATTTCCATTTCCTCTCCAATTTCTATTCCCTTTTTCAATTTCTCCGGCGACTCTCCGGCGTCGTATGGCTTCCGTCCGTTTATCTTCGTATAATAAAGGTAACAAGTACATAATTTGACATCTCTATTGACTATTGTTGTAGTTGCCTTTGTAATGAAAGAATTAAGTCGTCTTAATTATGCATGCATTTTGTTTGATTATAATGAGCAAGTAATTCATACTTATTTGGCCACATTTTTAGTTCTCTACTTTTGGGATAATTATGCATATTGTTAGATTGTTATTAAGGCTAAAGATTGCTTTTTTATGTATCAGAAAAGGGAATCTTTAAGGTTGCTATTAACATTAGATCGTGAAAAGATTAGAGTTGTTTACTTCCAGCAACTTGTGTTTACACCAAATGAATAAATGCAATATGTCTTTTATACACACATTTAGCACTTAATCATGGTTAAGTGATATGTATTCCACATTTATCTATAACTGCTAAATTTGGTATAAACACCGAGTTTAGACGTGTATTTACTTATCCTGTTGGTGTCGTCTTATTCCATCAAATGATCTCTCTTCTGTTTTTACTCATGTCGTACTAATTGTTGTTGTCATAGTTGTGGCTATTTTCTGTAATGATTCCAAGGTTTTCTATCCTATTACGGTCAACAGCTACTACGCCTCAATCTAATACAGTCACACTTCTCTATAATAACATCCCTATATAACAACTATTTACTATAAAAGTCAAGTTTTTTCGGATCCGATTTTAACATTATGTTATAATATATGTTCTCTATAATAGCACTTTACTATAGCAGCCAAAAAATATCGGAACAAATGAGGCTGTTATAGAGAGGTTTGACTGTACATCATATTACCAAGACTCAGAAGAGTAAAATTCTTAGTGACAGAAATTTCCTTTTTCTTTTCAAAGAATAGTTAATTTCCTTACCTAGAATGGTTAACTAAGTTTTTTATTTTCATTCACCACTGTTAAGGCATTTTCCGGTGGATTCATATCCTTATATGTTTGAATGAACTTATTGATTTCTTTCATCCTATTCTTTTGACAGATCTCCTACTTTGAGCTGAAGAACTTGTTGGATGCATGGGATGGCTGTTTTAGGTTGTCAATTGGATTGAAATCAGATTTACTTCAATGTACATATCATTTCATTAACATGGTTGGATATTTGTAGTATAGGCAGGAGAGTTAGTACATGGTTGGATATTTGTAGTATAGGCAGGAGAGTTAGTTTGCTAAATGAGATGAGGAAATTCTTCCGGCCAATAATTGTTGTTCTGTTGTTCAGAGTTAACTGGAGGAAACTGTTTGTTATAGGCACTATTTTAACAGTGTTTAGGGTCATTTTTCAAATTTCCACACTCCCTAATCCTTTGACTGAATGGGTTGTATCTCCACCCTTGGATGTTTCATCTTACCAACACTTAAATCGTGGAAAAATTTCGAGGGAACTTTCAGTGACATCAGATAACCAGTTGAAAATGAGTAGGCATTTGCCCACAGTTGTTTCACTCCAATCTACAGCCACAACAAACCGATCAATGCGAGCTATGGAAAGACGAGAAAGACTTCTTAGGCGTAGGAGACGTAGGAAGCATGCACGCGTAGTAGAAAAGATTATTTATCCACCTCCACCTGTTGTGCCCGATCACTTGCAGGTAAGTCTGATAATGTGCTTCCTCAGGAGCGATTAGTAAAGTCATTCTTCCTACTTGCTATCTTGTTTTTAAATCTAATTTAGTTATTTCCAGAGATTTATAGCTTCTTTGACACCAAATGAGGCACTTGCATATGCTAAAAGTGAGATTGAGAAAGCCCCTCTGCTCACCAATGATACAGACTTGTATGCTCCGCTGTTTAGGAATATTTCCATCTTTAAGAGGTACGACGGGTTATAATTGATTAAATAGCTCTTTATCTTTTACAATGTTACTCAAGGGCTGTGTTGTGCTTTTGTGATGGTAGAGTTACCTTTAACCACTCTCTCTTTGCCTATCTGTGGTGCAAACAAATCACAAACGTTTTCTTCTCTCAGCAACTACAGCCTAATTTAATCTTTATATAGTATTTTACATATTGACATCTCTTTCATAATTGTTCTTTTTGTTTAAGCACAAATTTTGATTTGACATTACAGGAGTTACGAGTTGATGGAACTTTTACTCAAAGTTTACATTTACAAAGAAGGAGAAAGACCTATTTTTCACGAACCTCATCTTATGGGAATTTATTCATCTGAAGGATGGTTCATGAAGTTGATGGAGGAAAGCCGTTACTTTGTCACCAGGGACCCAGAAAAGGCTCACCTATTCTATCTGCCATATAGTGCACGTCAGTTGCAGCTGGCACTTTACGTACCTAACTCACATAATCTTAAGCCGTTGTCAGTATTCCTGCGCGACTATGTTAATATGCTAGCTGCAAAGTACCCGTTCTGGAATCGCACACATGGAACAGATCATTTTCTAGTTGCTTGCCATGATTGGGTATGCATCAACCTCTTAATCAAATATAGTCTTGGCTGTATAGTATCCTTTAATTTCTTACAACGATGTGCATTACCAATTGTTACAGGGACCTTACATTTTAAAAGAACATGAGGAGCTAATTAGAAACACTATAAAAGCTCTCTGCAATGCAGATATATCTGAAGGAATATTTAAAGCTGGGAAAGATGTTTCCCTTCCGGAGACTGCCATAAGGAACGTTCAGAAGCCGCTTAGAAATCTTGGAGGAAAAAGAGTGTCACAACGCCCGATTCTGGCCTTTTTTGCTGGAAATATGCACGGTCCAGTCCGTCCCAAACTTCTCCAGTACTGGAGTGACAGAGATGAAGACATGAGGATCTACGGGCCTCTACCCAATAGAGTCTCAAGAATTATGTCTTATCCTGAACACATGAAATCAAGCAAGTACTGCCTTTGTCCGATGGGCTTTGAAGTGAACAGCCCAAGGATCGTCGAGGCAATATACTACGAGTGTGTTCCAGTGATCATTGCTGATAATCTTGCCCTCCCATTTGACGAAGTGCTCGATTGGAGTGCTTTTTCTGTGGTTGTTGCTGAGAAAGATATTCCTAAGCTGAAGGAGATTTTGTTAAGTATATCTCTCAGACGGTATTTGGTCATGCAAAATAATGTCAAAAAGCTGCAGAAGCATTTCCATTGGAACTCAATACCTACTAGATATGATCTGTTCCACATGATTTTGCATTCCATTTGGACTAGCAGGCTCAACCAGCTTCAAATATCACAGATATCATAATCCCTCTAGTTCAAAGTGCTCTCAACTTGCCCGTCTACTCGATTGAACAGCAATATGAACCATAAGGGCTCTTTTTGACATTTATAGGCCGATATTTTGAGGATTGCTGGTGACTAATTCTCTTCACTTGTGCACTCTTGAAATGATATGAGGTACTGAAAGCTTTTGCCACTTCAGTAGAAATAACACAAATGAACATATCTTTATTGATAAGACCAATCTCTTTCTGATGGCAGAGGTTTCATCGATTGGTTTTTCCTGTCCGTGCGTATCTCTTTTCCAACTTCAGTCTCTGCTGCGATTCAGGTAGTACTCAACAGAGGTGCAAGGCTTACAGGTCCCAAGTTTTGCATATGCACATTACAGCCGGAGGAGAAAAGATATTGCAGTTAAGACTTTGTCTCATGTCATCAGCATTTTCACACATTTTCCCTATTTTCACTGTTCCTGAGCCGAGGGTCTAACGGAAGCAACCTCTCTACCCTCATACGTTAGGGGTAAGGTCTGTGTACACACTACCCTCCCCAGACCCCACTTGAGGGATGGGTTTGTTGTTGTTGTTCCCTATTTTCTCAAGGTTTCCGCTGAAGTTGAATTTTCTTCAGTACAAACCAAGTTATCCGTAGATGATCCTTGATTTTTATTTTCCAGAAGATACTCTTTGAAATGAGCTGGGAGTTCATTCTCATACAATTCTAAAGTTATAGTAGTATATATAGAAAAGGAATTTACATTTTTAAATAATGCTCTAATGTCCTACACACCAGACCCCACACATAGGATTATACTGTGTTGTTGTTGCTCTAATGTCTTACACAGTAAGTCTGGAGAATATTCATCTAGTTGGTAATTGTATTGAATACAATGTAGAATATTCAAGTATACCGGGGAGAGAAATTCCCATCTACTTTTCTGCTGTGAATATATGTACAGTGTATATTTTTTCAGTAATTACAAGAACAAATAGTGATTTCTACATTTCTGCCCTATATTAGTAGAGTTTAAGTTTTATGCACTAATGGTGTAAAATACCAATCACGTGTTGATCGCATGTAAATCTGTATTACAACTACTAAAATCAGTAATCTGGTAAAATGACTTGCTATTGCAAGTTTAACTGCACTAATATCCGTTTCACCTACTTAGATGCTACTCAAGGGCGAGGGGCGAAATGCAGTTCACCGTCACTGGGTTCATCTGAACTCAGAACTTTCGGCGCAGATCATAAATTTATGTGTAATAAATCACGAAAATTGCAACAAATAGTAGATATGAAGCCATAAGTACGTTCTAGTTCTGACATTGAAAACACTAGCTCACGTTGATACAAACGTGACACGGCTTCGTCAACTTTTTTTACTAAATTTATATGTTAGATAATAAAAAAAAAATATATGGTGTAAAATATAACAATGACACCGCTTATAGTAATTTATTCATTTGTTCGCCTTTTTAAATAGTGACACCGCTTACAAAATTTTTTGTGTAAGCCACTGAGAACTAAAACAAGATAAATGTTGGTAAGCATTCTACTCAATGTCTAAAAACAAAAAATATGCCAGAGTGTCACGACAACTTCCTTTATCAAAGAGAACATTATCGCTCAAGTAAGGATTAATACGTCTCGTATAAAACTGTCAAATGATAAAATGTCCATTGTTAGAGTCTAAATATCCAATATCTTAATATAATCAGGCAACTACTTGACTAAGTTAGTTTATTAGTGAAATATCTTATTCACTATATAAGATCCACATATCATTTTACACTTCCTCTGTTGTGAACATGGATAAGTTAGATAATGCTTATGGGCCAGTTATTTGGACAAAGGTTGGCCAAGCTATTGGGCCTGGGGCTAAACCACGGGATATTTTTAAAAATAGCCAGATTTACAACTGGTCGATCAAAAATAGCCCAATTTCAAAAGTAATCGAAATTTAGCCACTTTTTATGTAAAGATAAATCTGAGCGAAAACACTATTCAAAACCCGGAAAATACTCCAGTATATTATGCTGGAGTTCCAGCATAAGTATACTTGAACTCCAGCATATTATACTGGAGTTCCAGGATAGTATGCTGGAACTCCAGCATAATATGATGGAGTTCCAGCATAAATACACTAGAACTCCAGCATAATATACTGGAGTTCCAGCTAGTATAATGGTCCAGTATAATATACTGGAGTTTGGAGCACCAGTGCTCCAGTGCTCCAGTATATTATACTGGAGCCAGCAAAGTACACCGGTCCAGCATAATATGTTGGAATTCATACACAAGTGCACCGAACTCCAGTATATTATGCTGGACCGGTCTCTATTGCAGCAAAACGGTGGCTATTTTTCATTGACTTGGTAAACGCTGACTATTTTTGATTGACCAGTCCGAAAAATGGCTATACCGTGAAATTTTGGCCTAAACCACGATATGGCCAAGGAATTAGACAGCCCAACGATACATTTGCTTGGGATCCAGGTTGAGTAGGGAGTACGTGACAAAGGGGATGAAAGGGTGTCATCGGTAGTTTTAGAAAATATATGAATTGTGATGTTGAATATGTTCTCTCTCATCTCTGCTCTATATCACTGATTTCCTCATCCCCTTCTACAGTGGCGAAGTCACATGTACATAAGGATGGTCAACTGACCACCCTTCGTTAAAAAATTATATTGCTTACATATGTAAAATATAACGTTTTAGAGGTATATAATACATACCGAACACCCTTTATCCGGAAATATTTTCACTTCTTTTAAATTTGAACACCCTTCCTAAAATTTCTAGCTTACTGCCCTTCTATATCGGTTTCTGTTTCTCACCTCTTTAATTTCTTCGTATCAGTTCTTCTATGTTACTTCAAGTGTTATTCCTTGTAATTCTGTGTAGTAAGGGCAATACTACAACTGAGTTTATTTATGTGCGAATTGGATATTTCAACTTCGTTACATCCTCCACCCCCTACTCCTTTTTGCTTCGCGTCTACTTCAGCATGTTGTTTAATGGTGAAGTATCCGATTGCCATATATATTTGAGAAAGACATATCCCATACTACAAAGACCACGTACTAGTATTAGTCATTAGATTAGAGAAAATATATAAATTTTTTATTGAAACTAAGATGCTATTGTCAAAATTTGGCAGGTTGGTATAATGGTATGCCGACCTTTTGCAATTTGCGAAGTGCTGTCGGACTCTTGAGAGAGAAAATCTTCTAGTTAGAAATTGCTTGAGATTTTTTTAAAGTGCAAATATAACATTGTAAAACAACGGGGAATTATCACTTTTAGCATGCGCCAGAAACTATTTACATTCGATAGCCGAAAAGTGTATAAAATTTATATAATTTTTGTATACAACATACAGAATGTATATATATACAAAAAATATACATTTTCAACTACTATTTTAAAAGCGACTATACAATATCATTTTCCCTAAAACGTTATCATGAAACTTAGCAGAGCTATCCAGTATGCAATGACTTTTGGTCCTTCCTTTCCGTGACAAAGACCTTTTGGCTTTTACGCTAGTTTGATAATTAGTGACTTAAGGTGGAATACAAAAAATAATTTTGTTCTGTTTTGCTTTGAAATTTTTTTGGTGTCTTTTTTGCCTTTTCAAGAAGTTGCTCTATGAATCTGTTACAAAAGAAATGATTCTTTTAAAAGAAAACCAAAATTGTTTTTACACAAAAAAGCAGCTGTTTTATTCAGCAAACATGTTTTGAAAAACAAACCAAAAACAAAGAATTCGCCTATTGCCCCAAATGACCAGTTTAATGTACTTATGTACATGCTATATAAACACATCGCCGCTGTAAAAAATTTAACAGTTGAAAGTAGTTATCTGCGACAGGCTATATTTTTTGTGAATCCTACTTGTGACTAAAGGAGACATAGCTCTTGACAGTTTGAGGTGCACAGGATTCGATAAGGCACATTATAGCTTTAACAATATCAAAACTGATTCGAAGAACTCAACGCTGCAAACAACGGTTGTTATATCAATTCTCCATGCTGCACAAGATAAGCTCATTTACAAACAAAACAAAACCTTGGAAGACAGCAGATTTTCAATTTCCTTTCTTTTTGCTCTGAGTATTTCTATTCTTTTTTCGTTCACTCGTATACCTATCTTCGTAATCTTCTTACTGTTGTGTTGCTTGATTTCCCATGTACACATTGCCTGACTCTGCAAATGCTCTCTTGAGTAGACTGAAAGCACCAATGATAAGCAACATCACTATTACCTTCTTTGATGCGAAGACCCTGAGATTTACCCTGAAGCCATGCTTTCTCATGAACCTCACCCCAGACACGCGTAACACGAGAAGCCAGGAAATGAAAGAGCACAACACAACTTTAATCGTCTCCGTCGGTCCAGATACACTCCTTGCATCACTGGACAAGTCAACATATGACCAAGAAGGAGCCTCTTGGCTGCTATCGACCTGGCTCAACCCAAGACTCTCATTCAACCAGCCTGATAGCTTTACAAGCACCTTTGCCAGCCACGCGATTTCATCATCTGAGATGGGCCGCTTCATCCAATCACCCTTGTATTTAATATCGGCCATCGTTCTGTTGCCAAAACTTCTGGGTGTAAAGATTTCATCCCGCGAATGCTCACACTGTACAATTTCTGGCGTATTCAGGGGCTTTAAGATAGGGCCACCAAATAACTGGCCAAGCTCAGATTTTAGTCTGTCCAAACACTGGAGGTTTTGTGTAAGATTTTCCCCACCAATTGATTGCAGTTCAGATTCTGCTCGCAATACAAAGAGCTGACAAACAGGTTGGACTGAGTTAGTAACATATATACACAAGCGCAACCTACACGGAACGGATATCTAGAGTGCTAAATATTGATCACCTGAAGCAACTTTTGTCCACCATCTTCACCATCACTGAAGAGTCGTAAATCTTTGTTCCAGTTCTCATGCAAAAAAGAACCATCAGCCTCAGTCTCAGATAGGCCGTCCTCCCAGTCCTGACATAATAGGAAAAGAACATAAGAATTGTAAAGAAGTGATATTGGAGCTCACATGGATAAGCATAGAATTTAGCCTTACTAGAAAGGTCACACAAGAAAGACAATACTTTATGGAAAATCTGATGGGCCTTGGGGCTTGGGCATGAAGAGTCTCATTAGACAAACTTGCACATTTATATTACAAACCCTTAATCTTCGTCCTAGAACACTTGCAATCAGAGACAGTTTCTCATACAATTCCTTAGCGCATGACCTATTTTAGGAAGACGATAATAGGTTTCATAATGGTAAACGCAGTACACATAAATCACTTTCTTGATTCTTCATGAAAAGAAACCAAGATTCAGGTCCTACAAAAATCAGTGCCAACTCATTTCTCCAAAATGGCCCAGACAGGTAGGTTGGAATTTTGCAAGTGAAGATCGGAAAATATAAAATAAATAATATAAAGTAATGCATATCTTTTTCCTATTTTCCATTCGTTACTTTAAGGGAACTACACACCAACTACAGGTATCATACTGTACTATTACAATGCAGGGATCATCATTTCTCCAATTACTTTTGATACTTGCTGACAAGATGCTCCTACCGGTCTAATGAGAGCACATTTAGGGTAATAACTCTAAGAGAATAGATCAACATAAAGTGCGCCAGCTGCTATCAATGAATCAAGCAACTGGCAAGAAGAGAAGTTACGGTACCTGTAATTGCTCACGAATAGCAGGAACATGTCTATGCAAAGCATTAAGCACTGATTTAGATGATCCAGTTGGTTTCGAATGAAATACAATGTCCACATTTTTTATGAGGTCCATTAGTTCTGTGGATGAGGTTAATATTCTTATCACCTGCATAAAAAACCATAGTTTAAGAAGGGATGAGAAGAACGAGAGTAAAATAAAAGCATGTGGAGTACCTAACTAATCTGATAGTCAATATCAGGATAAAGACAAGCAACAAACGCAGAGTTTAAC